GGCATCGAGTACCGCTTCGGCTGTTATGAGGTTACTTAACCATCATGTCTTGGTTGTGGTTACACAATGTTTTTGGAAGATCACCTAGTGTGCGCTGGCAAAGAATTTATGGAAAAATGAGTTATGGTTGTCGTATTTACTATCACTGCCAAGTTTAGTCATAGTTTTGGGGGGACCTGCCTAGAAATGAGCTATAGTTGCGCTAGGTGGATCTGCCGATCTTACTTGATAGGTCGTTAACCTGGTGCGATGAAGTTCATTGCCGAAAAGCAATTTTCATTAATAAAGTGGACCTGAATGCCATCGGGGTGTGTATTCAGCCCCACCGTCCACGAACATTCTATGAATTTCACCAATGCTGGAACTCATAGAATGTTTTGGACGCCGATGCGCGGGTTGCATCCTTAGCAGTTAACTCTACATAGACCTTCCACTTCAGAAACATTTTCTTGTTGAGATTAGAGGACTTTTTAGTCATTGTTGTCTCCTGCTAATAATCATGAGCTTTTAGCCTTAACCTGGCGACCTTTTCGTTCCTTCACAATAAAAGTGGATTTCTGAAATCTCTTTTGCGAAAGAAACACACAAGACTATCGTGAAATCTGCTTGCTGCGGTCTGTGCCTCAGTCTTCTTTATTGTCACCGCTTTGCATAGCCATCGAGCATTTGCACTTTTGGCGCGTATCTTTCATGGCTTTCGAATCTGTGCGCTTCTTTGCTATGCGTTACCTATATCTCGTGACACCGACAGTACTGAAGTAATTGAAGTTATATCAGATGAATAAGAAATTATAGCGTCAGTGTTCACTCAAGCAATTTTTTAGGAGAAACGTCCTGAGTCTTGTCAGTTGCTTGGTGAATACATGGAGGCGCTGCAGCAAAACTTCAAAGCTGCTTTTGCATTGTTCAAGCAAAATTGCGAAGAAAGAAAGTATCCGCAAAGCTGCTTCAAATATGGCATGTATCTTCTGGCTGGCAGAGGTTAGTTTCTTCAGACTTATGTAGAATTTGGGACTCTATCTTCTTTTTTCTTCAACTATGCTGTTACAATGTCTTATTGAGAATTAATTCCAGAATGTACGCCTGACTTGACAAAAATGATTGAGCCAATGCAGATCGCTTGTGATGGGAACATAAAGCAAGGTTGCAGGTGAGTGCTTTCTTTCCTGGTCTTCTGTTCAGTATAAAGTAGTACCTGGCCAGGTATCTGTCGTTGGTTCATTGGAATGGTGAAAAACATCGACCTGCTGATTCCAAGAAGGCTGAACAATATATGAAGAGGTTTGAACGTTATCCCGTGTTCTACATATGTAGTAATCCTATCTGCTTAGAGCTTGTGAATTAGAGGATGGCGAAGCTTGTTGGTTGCTCAGCACATGGTATA